GTGAAAGCCTTCGACAATACAGTGAAGAATTATTTCATTCAACATAAGGCTCCAAGAATCAATCCTTAATAGTGAATAAGAACAGCCTGTTTACCAATACCTAAGTTTTTTGAACAACCATCTGTGGATTCCCATATATGTCATGTGCCTGCAAAAAAGTCCAATTGGGAATCTTCTCTAACTGAGAAATGTTTAAACAGAAAGTCTATCCTTCTGATAGGATTTACCTATTTACCTTAAGGCAAAATATTGGCTTTCCCCTCAGTTACCTAGGACCAAAACAGTCCTGTAATCAGGGATACACAGTGGGCACAGGAAGAAATAATAGTTACTAGGAGCATTGTTTAAAAGTAAGTAACTGAACATTCACGTTGCAAGTGGTTTAAAGAGTTCTGTTTTCAGCTTCGAAAGAAATACATTCCATAGCAGGGGGTGTTCTCCAATGGTAAATATTAGCAAAACCCTTCAGGAAGTATTTCATCAGGGGATGAAAAAACATGGAATGGTTGTCTACTATTTTGTGCACAGCAGAAATTTTTCTTTTACGGAAGAAAATACAAGTTGCTAAGAGTGAAGAGATACCAACATCTGGAAATGTACAAAACAAAACAATATTTACAGTATAGTTGGATGGCTTCTAATATTGTCATAATCTCTACTGAAAAATTATTGGCTGAAGAAATCAAGTTGTGAGGTATAGAAATATTAGTTCAGGTGATACAACAGCTCATAATACAGGGGTTCTAAGTCCTGCCATTGTGGAAGGCAAAACCAGATGAAAGAGGATGGAGATCTATGGCTGTTCTGACTACGAGAAGGTTACCAAAATACATACGCCAGGCATATCTTGGTTAGAAGTGAAATGGGTGAAAGCTTATAAATTGGTCCCTTTCAGAAGACATTACCAAGACAGGCTAAATTATGGAACGACCTGCTGCAGACGTAACGGCAGTAAATGTTGCATGTTGTGCAAACAGATCAACAGAAGAGGTTCTCCAATGGGCAAAGAGGTTGTGAATCACCATAAGGTGAGCATATACTCATGTGTTATTACTAGTCATTGAGAATATTTGCCAATGTGTTGTCAGGACCTACACAGTATTTCACTGTTGGGAAGACATTCTGAACAATAGAGATATCCTAGAAGCTCAAAATCAATTGCATGCACATGCACACACATGCCGATTGTTATGTATGATACCATGGTATGTTAAATATGACTTGTATGACATGGCATTGAAGGATGAACTCAAAAGCATAAGGTGCCTTCGTTACAGCTAGAAGTTCCAGACAACTGATATGGCAGTGTTCCTCAGGAATATGATGGTTTTGGAAAATACAACCATTGCAATGAATTGCCATCTATTTGAAAAAGCATTGGTGGTGATGGTGCAAGGGGGAAGAGAGTTATATTCTGAATTCCAAGTATTGATCACTACCCACCAGAGAAGGAAACAACATAGTCAAAGGAAACAGGAAAATGCTTCATTTATAATTTACTTGATGTTAAAAAATCATTAGCCATCACTGAATGGACTGCATTCAAAACATACCACAAGACCAAGAACCAGGTAATAGCACTGAGTTGAGAATGATAATCGCCATCATATATCATGATTAAAAGGAATCATGCTCTTCTGCTGGGGCAAAAGGCACTTAATAAGGTCCAAATCCAAGTGTGCTCTTAAAAAATAAGAATGCAGGAAAGCTGGAAGGAGCATATAGCTCAGTTGATAGACAAGTCAAAATACTGATGTAAGCATGGTATATGCTGAATGTAGCAGACTCTAAGAAACAGCAACTAAAACTAGTAATTGTCCTAAATGAAAACATGGACCATATGAGACCATCATCCCTATGAACATTTTGGGGGCCTATAATTAGATCAAAGGAGGTACTAAAAAATGAAAGCAGCTGCTGTCTAATAAAATGGGAAGGTATTTCTACTGTGCCTGAAAATGAAAATAAACAATAGGTATTCTTCAGGTTTACAAATGTAAATTAATCCTTATGTAAATGTAAACTAATCTTTAAATAAGAGTAAAATTGTTCTGAAGTTTGTCAAAGATCCTTAATGTGTACATTATCCATGTTTAACTTGCTTGCTGCAAGCTACCTCCTTCACCATTGACACTTTCTTTTATCATTTGCATCTACTGCATGTGACTAAAGCAACTGTAGCTAGATGAACTTACCAGTTACTGCTATGTTCTTTCCTACTAAAGGTCAGAGGCTTCAATACAATGCCTTCTGCTTCTTTTTGAATTAGTCTTTTCATTATAATGTGAACCCCACCATGGGAGCATTTCCATGTAAGTTCATTGAAACTGGTGAAAGCCAGTTTTGGTAGTTGGTTGTCTGGTTTTTTTACAGTCTTCGATTCTAGTAAGCTGTGTCTCACAGCCATAAACAAGAGTTGGTCGCACTGTTGCAGTATATTTGGACTTTTGTGCTGTGTTTTTATGTCTTTTCATTTCTGGAAGCCAGAAAGGACATTACAAATATTGGATGCTCGCTTCAAAGGATGTGTCACTTCTTGTGGTGCTCCACCAGTTGCCCAAATGCTGTAGTAGTCTATGATGCCAAATGCTGCTTTGAAATCAATAAATTCTATATGCGTTTCTGATAAAACTTAAACTGCAATTCTAATAGTTGCTGAACTGCAAATATTTGATCAGCACAACTACACCTAGGTCTAAATCCAGCTTGATTTTCTCTTTTCAGATAGCAGTTGACTGAGAAGTATTCTTCCCATAATTTTGTATCCAATATTCAGCACAAAAATACGTCTGCTATTGCTACAAGTTTCGTTACCTCTCCTTTGTAAAGAGACTTATTTACTTATTTCATTTATAGGTCACTTAACTCCATCACAGATGATAACTGCTATTTCCCATTCTTTAGCATGTTTCAATTTCCCACATTTTCCTGAATAAGACTTACTTTATTTTATCCTAGGGACTACGGTTATCATGGCAGTCATATATTTCTAGCCCAGCTTGTCTGATCCTACTCCTTTCTAAATCATCTAATGGTTTTTGGGATTTTGTTCAGTCTTGGCAGGCCTTCATCTACAGAGTATATTGATTTTTCTATTTCTGAATTGTAGTTAATACTACTAGCATCCAGTGCTGTTGGAGCTGGGTGGTTTAGAAGCTCCTTAAAATGTCTCTTTCACTAATCCACTTGTCTGGTAGAAGTCCACCATTTTCATCTGTGATAATATCACTAACAGGTGCTATATATGTTGTCATCAGTTCTTTCATAAGCTAAAGAAAGGTTTTTTTGAGTCCTCTTCTCCTCTTGCTTCTTCTAATTCTGTTGCTTTTTTCCAATACACTTCCTTATCTTTCCTAGCTAGCTTTTTAACTAAATCAGCCAGATTTCCAGCCTTTGATTGCTCTTGGTTGGCTAGAGCAGTTTTTCTTTTGATTTGGTAAGTTAAATGTTTCAGCACTTGCCAGTCTTTGCATGTGGTTTTGGTATACCCAGTCTCCTTGACTACTGAACAATGAATAACTTTTTCAATTTAGATCAGAGGCCTCTACTTGCTCATGTTGGTCTGCACATATTTCTCACACGCCATGAGACATACCCTTCGGCATCCTCTTCATTGTATTAATATTTAAATTGGCCTCACTTCCAGAAAAAAAAGATATTCAATGAGATTAGAAGGTTCCTGAAGGAGTCCTGCATTATAAAACCAGGTGTGATGTTTAAGTGTGAGGCCACTGCAGAGATGCTACTGGCTAGATCTTTATATTCAAGAAGATGGGGAAAGGAGCATGTAATACTTTCCCAGAAGAAACGCTGACTGTATTCTTATCAAGATTGTTGAACTACAATACAGAAAAAGGGCAGAATAGTAGAAGGACATTACCTCACCGCATTCAATATTTGGCATATTTATCAGAATTACATGAGTTTGAGATCCTAATTTACCCTGAACTACTCATTGGGAATTCGCAATTTTCTTCAAATATCTTCCACAGACCTAATGAGAAACAAAAGAGCAGGTACAGCCACTGAAGCATAAGCCTTGGAATGGACTACTTGATGAATCTGGTCACCAGCTGATGATGTCTGTTGAAGCTATAAGCCTTTGCCATGTGAAGTAACTGCTATGTGTAAGATCTGTTTTTTTCTAAACAGAGACCTCCACAGGCTGATCTGGATTTCAGAAAGAAATGAGAAGGAAAAGACTCTTAGAGATTTCATTCAAATTGGATTTGAGTCCTCTAGGTCCAATAATGTTATAGCCAGAAATGTTTGAAATGTTTGGGCATGTTGTCTTGTTGGTGCATCAAATGCTGCAGTTTTTGCACTAAGCTATAGTATTTTCCACTGAGATAATTTTCAAGAATTGACAGGGAGGCCAGGAAGCTTGGTAGTTATTTATATACTTACAGAAATTAGAATCAACTGCAAAACTGAAATAAGAAAGTGGCTTGTTATGTTAAGTTTCAGGCCTGAGGAAAAAAAGATTCTTCCTGTTAGTAAGATATAGTGAAGAGGAGAAGATAATATCAGGATGACCTTGCATCCTCTTAGGTAGAGTAAGACTGATAATTGTAATAGCAAACTTTCCCATTCTATATCTCTCTAATCTGCAAATGTGAATGAAAGATATAAAAATAGAGCATCATCATATGGTAACTGAGGGTAACCACAATATGGAAAACAGAACTCAGAAGAGGCTGAACATCTACTTACCTTTTGGTCCTGTGATGGGCAGTTCCAAGAATGGAACTCAGCAAAGTGACTCTCTTGAAATTAAAGTAGAAAGGGATCTCTTATTTTGCCCTGAAAGGCACAGCCAGCAACCCCATGGTTTAACTGTAGGCAGAGTTTGCATAACCAGGGATGCTTAGTATTAGAAAAGGTAAAATCAAAAACAGGCTGGGAGGGAAGATATGGTAGTAATAATAGAACCAGAGTGTGGGTAATGGGTGAATAGTGCCACTGCCTTTTTCGTTTTAGAAATATCAACCCCCTATGCAGAAGGAACCTTTTGCTTCTTGGGTTTGTTTTCTAGTAAGGCAAGGTGCTTACTGATCAACTTGCTATAGGTGAACAAAGCCCTAAAAAGGGGGTGAGAACCATACAGATGGTTCTGCAGGTGTCTATGTTGAATGGAGGATGCCTCTAATAATTGAGCCAGAAATGATGGAAGTCTGGAGCAAATCAAGGCAAGCACAAGAATACTTGCTGAGGAATTTGATGATACAATAGCCATCAACAACATTTCCCAGGGAAGTGTTCTCAGAGGAAGACTGGTTGCATCAGGCTTGATTAATCTATTTTTGGCAGTGGACACAAATGTAATATTATGACTGTCAGCCAAATGGAGTAAGCACAGAGAGTGCCTATTTGTGGACAGCAGTTTACTGCCACAGTCAGAATATTTAGGACTATGTACTAAGTCCTCCCAGACCTTATCTTACTTATTTTATTTTACAAAAATAATTTTGAGGGTTGCATGTCAGGGTTAATCTTGAGACTTAAATGGCATTCTTTTAGGTATTCATATTTTAACAGTGAGAAACAGTTCCCCTTTAAAGTTAATTGAACAGATTAAATTAGCTTGATATGTTAAAGATTAAGGTGCTACAAAAGCATCCAGAATTTTTGGGTCAGTGCTTTTCCTTCTGAACACATATTCCTCCTGTTTATTTAAAATCAACACAATCAATTATTATATGAGAGCATCACAACAAGATAATAAATTCTTGTAGTTTTCTCATGCTTCTTCTTTTCCATGAAATGAAATTTAAGGGGAAAAAATGGTCTGTCTTTTCTATGCACCATCATAATGAGATTTCATTTATTAGGGGGAAAAAAAGAATAACCATGAGAAGTTAACACACCTTGTGATAACATTTTTCTCTGAGAAAAAAACAAGTTTGATGGAAATCCATCTTTTGTGAAGATGCCATATATTTTACTAAACATAGCTTGCAACTAGAAAGAGAAGTTCTATTCCAGCTTGCCAAAGGGACAAGAGAAGGCTCTCTAGTACGCAAGATACATATATAATAGAAAGATATGGGTGAGCTTTTGCAAGCCACTTTGGTGGGCCCTACTTTCTTCTTCTGATATTTCTATAACATCCTGTTAGCACTTCTAAAATCACAGACCTACCAAAGGGCAAGAGCTATAAAATGTGTTTAGATCCTAAAGGCAATCTGTAGAAGCATTTCCACAAGTCTTAGTAACAAGTTTAATGCAAGTAGTATACCAATTAACTTTGGGTTATCTTACCTTTAGCTTTCAGTTCTGATAAAAGACTTCCTGGACCTTCATGCCCAATAAGGTGACCAAGATAGTGGCCAGGGTTTGATTTGTAGTACTTTTGAAGATCTGGTATTGGAAATGTGACATAAAGATTTCTAAAATCTTTAATAGGTACCACCTTGTAAAGTTGCTGTAAAATTGGGGGGGAAAAAGAAGAGGAAAACCTTATTTAAACTTTTTATCTTTGTAAGATAAAGGTTAGAGCTATCAACTGTTTCTATTGGAATGGTTACTATAATTTCAGGAAACAGATAATTAAGCCCGCACATAACAATCTCGACTTATGATTTACAGAGAACCTCCAATACTATCTTGTTACTATCTACTCCTTAACAAAAGTATAATCTTGAAAGTTTCAAACCCACCCGGAGATGTTCTTCCTGGAAGGGATGTTCAGGGAATTCTGGTAATGGAACATTTTTATTCTTTACTTCAGAAAATAACTTCACCACCAGACTGGTTAGCTCATCTAAAGATTCTGCATAAAAGAATGAAAAGAAATCACTAAAAATTAAAAGCAGCATCCCTTATTCCAGGTCCTTCAAGTGAGTTGGACTTTAAGTTCCAAAATTCTAGCTTACTGGGAATTCTGATAATATAACTCTTACACATCTAGAAGATATCTTATTGGAAAAGTCTAGAAAAGAAGATCTCTTAGACTTCTTAGCTGCTTCTTCTAAACAGAGCCCCAGTAGGCTATCTTTTAACCACACATCTAAAAACTTAGAATACCTATCTCTTATTACAGAAATTCTGTATCCAGAATTCAGTCAGTGTATTTTACACTGCATAATATAAACAAAATCAGATCCCAAGAAGGAAGGAGGGACATTAAGGGAAAAAAAAACAGAATTTGAAATGCTCATATAAAATCAAACCACTTATTAGGGTAGATATACAAACTCTTACTTAAATATGATACAGAGGCAGAACAAACAAAAAACTGTATGACAAAACCTTAAAGAAACAGTTACAATACAACACTGGGCAGAATTATGAATTAAATATATAAGATTTACACCAAGTTATAAGTTAGAGGAAAATTGGTACAAAATGTTTTGTAGATGGTATACAACTCCATCAACAATATCTAAGATAGACAAATCATATAGTAATAAATGTTGGGAATGCCATGAAATAGAAGGAACATTTTATCACATGTGGTGAACATGTAAAAGAACTCAAAAGTACTGGAAAGACATAAATAGTATAATGCAGAAATCTTGTAATTTAAATTTGAAATGAAACCGCAACTTTTGCCACTAGGTATAATCTCAGAAAAAATCAATAAGAAATATCATAATTTAATAAAATATATGCTTACAGCAGCAAGAATAATCTTTGCTCAACAATAGAAGAAAGACACAATCTCAACAATATCTGACTGGGAACTTAAACTCAGAGAATATATTTGAAATTATGATTTATGGATTTGATGACAGATATAATATGGGTTAACAGAAATAATGGAAGTTATGTTGTTAATTTAGAGCATGAGTTTAATATATATTGCTACATATCTGTTGCAATGAGGGTCAGGTTTTTTTTCTTTTTTCTTTTCTTTTTTCCTGCACTCTTGATCTTTACTATTTTTTTTCCTAATTTCTTTTTATTATTATTGTTAATTTTTACTATTCTTTTTTTAAAATTAATAACATTATTACAAAAAAATGAAGCCCTACAGACTGCTAAATAAAGGCTCACAGCACTGGCTGCCAGGCTAAGGAGGTACACTAGAGAAACAGAGGCCAAGAAAATAAATACCCTGTTCTCCAAAGAACCATCCAAGGTGTACTCCCAACTGCAATGCAACAACACAGTAACAACAGAGCAACCAACAGTAGAAGCTGAACAGTACAGGAAGAACATATGGGAGAAAGAGAAGACACATAACACCAGAACAAAGTGGCTGTAGTACCCGGGACAAACCACACCAATCTCCCAGAATAAAAACCAGTCACCAACACAGTAGCAGACATCTAACAGTGGGTCAAGAACACGAAGAGCTGGACAGCACCTGCCCCAGACATGATCTATATCTACTGGCTAAAGAAATCAACAACAGTGTATGAATGCCTAGCAGCACAGATGAACCAACTGCTAGCAGCAGGCTCCCACCCAGACTGGCTAACACAAGGAAGGACAGTACTGATCATGGAAACTCCTATCAGGCATCCAAGACACCAAGCTACAGGACCATATGGGCCAGGACATGACCACAGCACTGAAGGGCACTGGGAACACCACCAGAGGCTCAAAACACCAGTTGCTCATAGATAGAGCAGTCACCCAAGACTCAAGGCCCAGACAGACCAATCTGAACATAGCCTAGATTGACTACAGGAAAGCCTGCAACTCAGTGCCACACACATGGATCTGTTAATGCCTGGCATTATACAAAGTCACTAAGGACCTTCCTCAAGAACTCAATGGGACTGTGGAAGACAACACTGGAAGTCAACCCAAGAGAGCTCACACAAGTGGCCATCAAGTGTGGCATATACCAATGAGATGCACTGTCCCCGCTGTTGTTCTGCATAGGCTTGAACCCCATCAGCCAGATAATCACAAGGACTGGATACGGATACAAGTTCAAAAGTGGAACTACCATCAGTCACCTCTTCTACATGGATGACATCAAGCTGTATTCTAAGAGTGAACGAGACATCGACTCGCTAATCCACCTGATATGGATCTACAGTGAGAACACTGGGATGTCATTTGGACTGGAGAAGTGTAGCCAGTTGGTAGTAGAGAGAGGGAAGGTAGTTAAGAATGATGGGGTGGAACTTCCAGAGGGCCACATAGCAGACATAGAGACCAGCTACAAGTACCTTGATGTCCCACAGTCACATGGGAACCACGATAAGGAGTCAAGAAAGACAGCAAAATCCAAGTACCACCAAAGGATAAGGCAGGTCCTCAAGAGCTAGCTCAATGGGAAGAACAAGATCCATGCCATCAAGACGTATGCCCTGCCAGTCATCAGATACCCTGCTGGTATAGTGAGCTGTCCAAAGGAGGACATGGAGGCTGCCAATGTGAAGACCCAGATGTTCCTCATAATGTATGGAGGTTTTCACCCCAAGTCCAACACCCAAAGGCTGTACACCAGCTGGAAAGAGGGTGGGTGGGGTCTGGTGACCGTCAAAGCCATTGTCCTGGATGAAACCCAGAGCATCCAGAAGCACATCAGTAATATGGCACCCAAAGATGAGCTGCTGAGAGAATGCCTGAGGCAGCAGCAGACATAGAAGGAAGTTCAAGTGGAGGAAGTGCCATGGCAAGACAAGCCCCTGCATGGGATGTACTACTGACAGACAGCTGAGGTGGCTGACATTGGGAAATCCTACCAGTAGCTAGAAAG